GATACAGACACAGAGAGAGAGAGAGGAGCAAAAGCTGTCTCTTATACACATCTAGATGTGTATAAGAGACAGCCTCCTCCACCTCCTCCTCTTATTCCGGATTCTTAAATTGAGCACACCCCTCTTACTAATCCTCTGAGCGATTTCCTGGGAGCCCCTTTGGATCTCCCTCCGTATTTTCTTAAATTGCGCACGCTCCTCCTCCCCCTCCTCCTCCTCCTCCGCCGCCTCCTCCCCTTCTTACTACTACTCTTCCTCCTCTTACCTCCGCCGCCGCCTCCTCTTACTCCTCCTCCTCTTACTCCTATTACTCCTCTCCTCCTCCTCCTCCTCCTCCTCAGTGTCTTCTCATTCTCCTGTCATGGTACAGTCGCCTTCTCGTCGCCTGTCAATGAAATCCCAAATCTTCTGTCCCTCACATCTTCTTGCGGCAGCATCTTCTTGCCCTTCTCTACTGACTCCTACGGCGTTGTTCTTCTCCATTATGCGCCACGACTACAATTCCTCTGTCTCTGCGCTTCTTGGTCATCAACCTCGCACACATAAAGAGTAGGATCAACGGCAAGGACACGTACAAGGGAAGGAAAATCCTCCGTTGGAGCGACGCTGAAGAGGCGGAGGAAGAGGACGGGGAGGAGGAAGAGGAGAGGGTGAACGATAACACAACGAGGACGATGAGAAAGCAGGAAGCGGAACGAGAAGAGCAACGGAGAGAGCAAGCGGTGGGGACAAGGAGGCAATGGTTTTTTAACCTCTCTCTAAGATGATGATCAGCCAGACGCTGTAGTGACGGGAGAAACAACTCTACAGAGTCAAACGACGTTCTTGCTTGCGCAGCGTGAGAGAGAGGGGGGGGGGGGGAAGGGAGGGAAGCAGTTATCAGGGTCCCTTCACAGATGTGGAGACTGACCAGCAAGTCCTGATGCAACAGACTGACTCCGAGAAAAACTCTGCCCTCGGCCCACCAGGGGTATCGGTACCGGTACCGGCTTCCCCCGAACAGAACGCACCGTCATTACAGCGGTACTTGGGCCACGTTCGAGTCTAGATACAGAGACGATATTGACCATAAAAATTCTATTCGGGGGAAGGCGGTAGTCCGCTCGAACAGTAGCGTGATACCCACGTTAGGGTTGCGCAGCAGGGGGGGCGGTTTGCGTCAAGCTGCCGGGACGGGCTACCGGTAGCCCGCCGGTCGAACTGTGCGGCACGCTGCCAGGACGGGCTACCGGTAGGCCGCCGGTCGAACTGTGCGGCAAGCCGAGAAAAAAAAGCCGTCCACGGGGACGAGAGTCTTTGGTCGGATTTCTTTCCCTTTTTTTTTCCCTTCTTTCCCCTCCTTTTTGGGGGGCTCGACGGATGGCTTTCCGAGACAGCAAAAGCCAGCACCGACCCTCGCCGCACCACTCAGCAAATGTGCGACATGGGAATGTATCTCCAGCTAGAAGGTGGAAAGATGCACCCACCATATCTTTGTCCTTTTTCACACTCGGTGTGTGAGTGGTGGTGCGGCCAGGCCCAACAACTCCAACTACACGGCTGGTAGTGTGTAGGGATCGCAGTCGATCAGGTCAACGGTTCAAATCAGACATCGAGGTCCAATTGCTATCATTCAAAAGTCCTGCTGCTAGTTGATTGGACGCGACTAGGTACTACGGTATAATTCAATTATTACTGTAAAAAAATTAACCGATCGAGACAAGAACGGTCGGTCAGAGTTTCCGTCCCTGTCCAATCCAATCAAGAGATCGAATCCAATCACGAAAACGGGAGGGGGGCACGTGTAATCACACCGATCGCAATCCCATCGAGAGAGAGCCTCTCTAAATGGCCGACAATCCACTGTAGAAAGGAACTCCGAAATACTCACCATCAAAACAAAACAAAACAAACAAAAAAGGGAAAAAAAAAAAAAATGAAAATGACCATAGATCTGTATTATCTGCGGTCCGCATTTCTCCAAGAACTCCGTCCTGGTGCAATGTACGGGCAGCCTATGGTATTTTCTTTCCATTATTTTATTTTTTATTTTTATGAAGATGACGTGCTGATGACAGCTTGGTGCCGACGGAAGGCAACGATCGACGTCTCACGGGTACCGGTAACGACATCAGTGGACTAGAGTTCTTTTTTTTTCCTTCTTTTTTTCTTTTTTTTTAATGCTAGGAAGCAGGCAGCCCCAGAGTCCCTCACATCAATCTGCGCGGCCCAAGGGGAATGATCCCAACGTCTCTGGTCGGGATCAGACCCAGGAGAGGAGTTGTGGATTGCGTTGATTTCAACTAACCAAATCAGGGGAAGGGGGCCGGGGAAGGGGGGCATAGATATTAGTATTACTGTATATTTTCGTTTTTTAATATTTCTATTGTTTCCCTTTTTTTAAGGGGGATGATGATTTTCAATGTATGTTCCATTCAGGATTTGATGGAATGATGATTAACAATCCAGAAGAACAGGGGACAACAATAGCTGAGAGTCGAGATGCACACCTAAACTAACCGCGGGTTCTAGTCAGGTGAAGACGCTACCGTAGGATTTCCATGCCACTGTGGCCAAGTAGGGCAAGGATCACCGTCTTCCGCAGAACATAACGCACCCTGATAATAATGAATGTATACAACCAATCTTGCCGGTCGGGTACAGTCAGTGCGTTGTTGTCGGGGGAAGATGGTAGTCGTCGCGGGTGCCTGTGATTGATTTGTTGTTTGGCAAAGAGCCGGCTTGGACTGATTCTGCTAGCGCCTGCCGCCGCCTCGTTCCTTCCCCCCACTTCTATTGCCCCCCATTGTCGCACGCGATGTCGCCCAGAAGTTGATGCTTTCTCGCACACGTTTTCGCCCATCTCTCTCTCTCTCTCTCTCTCTCTCTC